CAGACGACATGATAGTATACCTAGAAGACCCCATTGCCTCAGCCCAAAAACTCCTGAAACTGATAAGCAACTTCAGCAAAGTCTCAGGATATAAAATCAATGTGCAAAAGTCACAAGCATTCGTCTACACCAATAACAGACTTAAAGAAAGCCAAATCAAGAGCTAACTGCCATTCGCAATTGCTACAAAAAGAATAAAATACCTTGGAATACAACTCACAAGGAACGTAAGGGACCTCTTCAAGGAGAACTACAAACCACTGCTCAACGAAATCAGAGAGGACACAAACAGATGGAGAAACATTCCATGTTCATGGTTAGGAAGAATTAATATCGTGAAAATGGCTATACTGCCCAAAGTAATTTACAGAATCAACGCTATCCCCATCAAGCTACCATTGACTTTCTTCACAGAACTGGAAAAAACCACCATGAACTTCATATGGAACCAAAAGAGAGCCCGCATAGCCAAGTCAATTCTAAGCAAAAAGAACACAGCGGGGGGCATCACACTACCGGATTTCAAACTATACTACAAGGCTACAGTAATCAAAACAGCATGGTACTGGTACCAAAACAGAGATATAGACCAATGGAACAAAACAGAGGCACCGGAGGCAACACAACATACATACAACTATACAATCTTTGATAAACCTGACAAAAACAAGCAATGGGGCAAGGATTCCATGTTTAACAAATGGTGTTGGGAAAACTGGCTAGCCATGTGCAGAAAGCAGAAACTGGACCCCTTCCTGACACCTTACACTAAAATTAACTCCAGATGGATTAAAGACTTAAACATAAGACCTGGCACCATAAAAACCCTAGAAGGAAATCTAGGCAAAACTATCCAGGACATAGGAGTAGGCAAGGACTTCATGAACAAAACACCAAAAGCATTGGCAACAAAAGCCAAAATAGACAAATGGGACCTAATCAAACTCCACAGCTTCTGCACGGCAAAAGAAACAGTCACTAGAGTGGATCGGCAACCAACAGAATGGGAAAAAATTTTCGCAGTCTACCCATCTGACAAAGGGCTGATATCCAGAATTTACAAAGAACTCAAACGGATTTACAGGAAAAAAACAAACAAGCCCATTCAAAAGTGGGCAAAGGATATGAACAGATACTTTACGAAAGAAGACATATATGAGGCCAACAATCATATGAAAAAATGCTCATCGTCACTGGTCATCAGAGAGATGCAAATCAAAACCACATTGAGATACCATCTCACGCCAGTTAGAATGGCAATCATTAAAAAATCTGGAGACAACAGATGCTGGAGAGGATGTGGAGAAAAAGGAACACTTTTACACTGTTGGTGGGAGTGTAAATTAGTTCAACCATTGCGGAAGACAGTGTGGCGATTCCTCAAGGCCTTAGAAATAGAAATTCCATTTGACCCAGCAATCCCATTACTGGGTATATATCCAAAAGACTATAAATCGTTCTACTATAAGGACACATGTACACGAATGTTCATTGCAGCACTGTTTACAATAGCAAAGACCTGGAATCAACCCAAATGCCCATTGATAATAGACTGGATTGGAAAAACGTGGCACATATACACCATGGAATATTATGCAGCAATCAGAAATGATGAGTTCGTGTCGTTTGTAGGGACATGGATGAATCTGGAGAACGTCATCCTCAGCAAACTGACACAAGAACAGAAAATGAAACACCGCATATTCTCACTCATAGGTGGGTGATAAAAAATGAGAACACATGGACGCAGAAAGGGGAGTACTAAACACTGGGGTCTATTGGGGGAAAAAGGGGAGGGCCAGTGGGAGGGGGAGGTGGGGAGGGATAGCCTGGGGAGAAATGCCAAATGTGGGTGAAGGGGAGAAGAAAAGCAAAGCACACTGCCATGTGTGTACCTACGCAACTGTCTTGCATGCTCTGCTCATGTACCCCAAAACCTATAATCCAATAAAAAATTAAAAAAAAAAAAAAAAGAAAAGCATTCCCCTATAGAACTCATTGGAAGCTGCCAGCAGGTGGCGTAGACCCTGACAGCTCTGTCACTGCTATGTGACTTAAGGCATCCTCCTATAAATCTTCTTAGTAGCTTGCCCACAGATAGAGGTGTTGCACACTGCACCCCCTTCATTGTGCACGGCCCACCTCCATGCCTCGGTAACCCAATTGGGGTGGACCCCTTGCTGCACACTGTCCACCTCCTAGCCTAGGTGACCTAATGGGGGTGGACCCCATGTTTTATTGGTCACGACCCTATCACTGTCCTTAAAGATGACTTCACTCACTGCCCTGCCCCCTAACCTGTACACAATAAATACTCATGCTTCTGAACATTCGGGGCCTTGCCTGACTCTGCTCATAGGTGGTGTATCCCCTCTAGCCCAGCTGCATTTTCCTTGTACTTCTATGTCCTGTCTCTTTATTTCTTGGATCCTGCGCCTCAGCACAGCATAAGGGCCACCCCACAACCCTGTGGGCCATCAGCTCTACAGGAAGTGAGATCATGTGACTTCAAAGAGCAAGTCACAAAAGATGTTGTGGTTCTGTCTTGTCCTCTTGGGATGGACGTTCTTGGGACCCTGGCACTTTGCTATGAGGAAGCAAAGACCACATGGAGAGACGTTGGCCAGCAGCCTAGATGAAGTCCCAGTGTCACCTGCCAGACAGGTGAGTGAAGATTCCTCCAGATGATTCTAGTACCCAGTTGTAACCAGGCAGCTTAGCTCCCGACTGCATTAAAAAAAGTTTTCCCTTTTTCCTTTGGTTTAAAGACATAACCTTGAAGCAAACTGTAGAAGCCTTTTACTAACTCATCATACATACTCCCTTCACATTTATCTGTCTACTAGTATCTAACTATGTGTCTTAGAAGTTCCAGGAGTCAGTCCTGACAGACACAGACCAAGTCTGGAGACCCAGCTGCAAAGTTCCAGAGATTACTGCAAGGCAGCCAGGTAACAGCCTGGCCATTGTTGAAATGACATAAGCCCAGGGCCCAGGTGAACCAGGACCCAAGACAGCCACCAGAACGATACACACAGATGCTACTCAGCCCAGTTCTTGCATGCCTTCCTTATCAAGTTTTCTCTTTTTAAACCCCTGTCTTCTCCCTAAAATAGAAGCTGTTAATTTGGATAGGAATCTGACTGCCTTCCCTTCACTAGTTTTTGTTAATAAGTTCTATCTCTCTACCAGACTGTACCCTTGTTAACTGGCCTCTGTAAGAAGCGAGTGTTTGGTTACACAGTGATTGAGTCTCTTGCAGGCAGGCATCAAGTGAAGATTCAAGTCTTCAAGCCTTCAAGTCTTCCCAGTGGAGGCCCCAGCATTGGGGAACAGAGACAGACTGTCCCAGGGGCTGTATGAATTCATGACTGCCAGAAACCATAAACTAATAAAATTATTGAAGTTTTTTTTTTTTTGAGATGGAGTCTCACCCTGTCCCCCAGGCTGGAGCAATCTCTGCTCACTGCAACCTCCACCTCCTGGGTTCAAGTGATTCTCCTGCCTCAGCCTCCTGAGTAGCTGGGATTACAGGCACTCGCCACCACACCCAGCTAATTTTTTTGTATATTTAGTAGAGATGGAGTTTTGTCATTTTAGACAGGTTGGTCTTGAACTCCTGACCTCAGGTGATCCACCCACCTTGGCCTCCCAAAGTGCTGGGATTATAGGCATGAGCCACTGTGTCCAGCCGAAAATGATTGAAATTTAAGCCATGAATTTTTTGGCCATCATATAGCAATATATGTAACCAGAGATTTTTGTTTTTTTCTGTGAGACAGAGTTTCGCTCCGTTGCCAGGCTGGAGTTCAGTGGCATGATCTCGGCTCACTGCAACCTCCACCTTGCGGGTTCAAGTGATTCTCCTGCCTTAGCCTCCTGAGTAGCTGGAACTACAGGCACACCACCATGCTTGGCTAATTTTTGTATTTTTAGTAGACACAGGGTTTCACCATGTTGGCCAGGATAGTCTCAATCTCTTGACCTCGTGATCCACCCACCTTGGCCTCCCAAAGTGCTGGGATTATAGGTGTGAGTAACCAGAGTTTTTATCTGCTTTATATCATGAAGTTAGATATAGGGAGGTTAGGGAGACTAAGAACTAGAAAGTAAAGTTCTGTTGTAGTCCAGAGGGGTTAAAAGTCTGGACAGAAGAAGGCACTTGCAAGAGCAAAGAGTCTTTGCCAGACATATGGTATTGCTTCCTGAATCTGGAACTGGGTTTTCTCCACGTTGTTTGGAAGGACCCGGTCCTGGCACCTGTAGTGGTGTGTTCATTCTTATATTTATTCAACAGATCTTTAATGGGTCTTCTAATGGCCTGGCATGGTGCTAGGTCCTGAAGGTAAAGTAAAATAAATATTTAATTTATTCATTGTCTTAGGGTTTTCCAGAGAAATGGAATCAGTGGGATGGATGGATGGATAGGTAGATAAACAGGAGGGGATTTATTATGGAAATAAGTTATGGAGGCTTAGATGTCCCAAGATATGCTGTTTGTAAGCTGAAGAACCAGTGAGGCCAGTGACGTGTTTCAGTCTGAGTCTAAAGGCTTGAGAACCAGAGGAGTGCATGGTGTAACTCTCAGACTGAGGCTGATTACCTGAGAACCTGAGGGGCTGCTCATTAAGTCCCGGACTTTGAAGGCCAAGAACCTGGAGTTTTGATATCTGAGGGCAAGAGAAGGTGGCTGTCCTGGGAGAGACTGAATCCATCTTTCCCTTTTTTTTTTTTTTTTTTTTTCTATCCAGGTCCTCAACAGATTGGATGATGCCCACCCACATTGGTGAGGGGGATCTTCCTTACTCAGCTACTGATTGAAATGCCAGTCTCTTCTGGAAACTTCTGCACAGAATGCTCAGGAATAATACTTTACTACCTATCTCCGTTTCCCTTAATCAGGCAAGTTGACACCTAAAACGAACCATCACAGCCACCAAAGAGTTTATATAAACCACATGAAATTGATTGATTGGACACAAGTTAGAACAAACACCGAATAGTAAAATATCAATGTAATGTAGCATGTAAACATCAAAACAGTGGTCAGCAATATTTGCATTGGGAATATCCATGTAAGCAGGAGCAATCAAGAGGGAAATCTATAGAGTTTCATCAACTTCGAGGATGAACACTGGTCTGGAAATGAAACCCAAGCTTTAGTCCATTTTTCTGGTCCCCAGTTTTTAGCTTGAATGGTCAACCTAGATAAAAACCACAGTCCCTTAAATCTGAGAAATGAAAGTGCTTTCATGTGAATGATCTCATTTGTTCCTCCCTGTGTGTGTGTGTGTGTGTGTGTGTGTGTGTGTGAGCGCACAGCAGAGACAGGAGAGGGAGAGAAAGTACCATGGAACTTTGTGGTGGTGAAGAGCATGGTCTGCATCAGAAAGACCTGATTTAAGCCCTGGCTCTCTTTGAGCAAATTATTTTTACTTTTTCAGCTGCTATTTCCTTATCTGAAAATCCGGATTAATTGTAACAGCACTTCTCTCATGAGTTTGTTGTAAAAATTAAATGAGCTAATGTGGGTAAAATACTTCAGTGCCGAATAAATGTTGGCTTTTATCATATATTGTTAAAAACAACACTGGCCAGTTATGATTAGGGAGGCCAAGGCAGGAAGATTGCTTGAGTTCAGGGGTTTGAGACCAGCCTGGGCAACATAGTGAGACCCTATCTCTACAAAAAAGATTAGCCAGGCATGGTGGCACATGCCTGTAGTCCCAACTACTCAAGAGGCTGAGGTGGGAGGATCGCTTGAGTCCAGGAGACAGAGGTTGCAGTGAGCTGTGATCATACCACTGCACTCCAGCCTGGGTGACAGCCAACCTGTCTCAAAAAAGCAAACCAAAAAACCCAAACCAAAAAAAAAATCCAGGAAAGACAGATTTCTAAAATTTGATGATTGTAAAAATCAGTAAGGCTCACTGAATATAAGAGAGGCAAGCAAAAAATTACTCTAATATTCTGAGTTTGGGTAACCTGGAATATGGTTCCTTTATTGAGTAAACATTTACTGAGTCCTATGTGCCACGCACTGTGTTAAGTACTTGGCACTATTCTCTTGTGAAATCTTCGCAATAAACTCAATTAATTCTGTGAGATAGGTGTTACCCCAGTCTCCACAAAAAGTTAAAAGAATTAGCTGGGCATGGTGGCACATGCCTGAAGTCCCAGCTACTAGGGAGGCTGAGGTGGGAGGATCAACTGAGCCCAGGAGGTTGAGGCTGCAGTGAAACCCTGCCTCAAAAAAAAAAAAAAAGAAATGAAATGAAAATGAGGGACAAAGCTGTGAAAAATGAACCATATAAGACAATTTAGAGAAACATCTAGTTTGGGAAGACTAGGTAGATAGTAGGTAGGTAGACACACAGATGGAGCTAGAGTCAATGTCTGTTCATATATACAGAGAGAACTATTGAGAGGGAATGGCCAGGGTTCTAGATTTGAGTTCTCTGTAGAAAATGAGTAGTTGAAACCGTAAGAATAGTAAACAGCCAGCCGGGCACAGTAGCTCACGCCTGTAATCCCAGCACTTTGGGAGGTTGAGGCAGGTGAATCACAAGGTCAGGAGTTTGAGACCAGCCTGGCCAACATGGTGAAATCCTGTCCCTACTAAAAGTACAAACATTAGCCAAGCATGGTGGTAGGTACTTATAATCCCAGCTACTTGGGAGACTGATGCAGGAGAATCACTTGAACCTGGGAGGCAGAGGTTGTAGTGAGCGGAGATCACGCCACTGTATTCCAGCCTGGGCAACAGAGCCAGTCTCCGTCTCAAAAAAAAAAAAAAATAGTAAATAGCCATTTACTATATCATGCTAAAGGAGACATGAAGAGAAATCAGTGAAGGAAACACAGTGAAATAACTTGAGCCAAGTATACAGTGAGCTTCAGTCTACCCAATCTCCTTCACAGTCATACAAAAATAAGCAAATAACAGAGAATTTAAACAGCTATGCTTAAGGAGGTTCCTAGTATCAGTCTGAAAGTAACCATTATACTTAGGTAGCTCAGGGGTTAGTGGCCTTGCCTGGATGTCATTATTTGCTTCCTTGCAGTTCCAGGGTCTTCTGCCACCTACCTCTGGAGTTCTACTTTCAGCTACCCTCTCAAACAAGTTAAAAATTTTCTCCAAGATGCTGGCTGTGCTTTCTCCTACAACACCTTAGTGTGTGCCTTCTCCATCCTTTCTTCTAGCACATATTTATTTTCAGATATTTTTAAAGAGCTCTCTGTGGGAAAGGCACTATAGTAGCAGGTGTGATAAGAAGGGATGAGGAGACAAAAGTAAGTTTCACATGGTCTCTGCCCTCAAACGGCTCTCGGGCAAGAGGACTGCACAACCATGATCCATTATACAAAGTGATGGGCCACGAAAAAGACACAGTGCACTGGGATTCTAGAGAAAGGAGAGATGAGAGGAGGTTTCATAGAACTGGTAGTATGTTAGCTAGATGAGTATGTTATATCCAGATATTTAAAATATGTCACTATATCTGTCTACAAATATATATATATATCATTTTTAAAGTTTAAAAAAGTCATTAATCCCAGGGCTGGAACAGATCTTGCTAGATTTATCTGATTCAAATGGTACCATTATGCGTGATTTATAGACATGGCAAGTGAGACTCTCATAAAAATATGCTTACTCGTGGTACTTTGGTGAGTTTTAAAAAACCGTCATGAGATTTCATGCGCTCTTAGTCAGAACTGATCCATTCCATCAACTGATTTTTAACTGTGCAGCAAAATCCTTCCTAAAATTTGATTTGTTCCTATTTTAATTACCCAAGTTAGAGTGAACTTTTAGTCACGTGGAGATCTCAGTCACATGGAGATCCTAGATTCATAGGATTTGGCAGTTTCAAACCAGATTGCTTCTACAGCTTTCTGACCCATGTCAAACATTTGCTGTAAGTGTTTCCAGCCAGTTTTTGCAGTAACCATGAGATAGTCTTTGTTCTCTGGGTATAGCTGGCAAGAGTATGCGGCCATGACAAGCGACTGACAAAAACGACTGCATACAAGTAAAAACAAAGCACTCCTCTCTACAGCTGTCAGTGGGGTGACACTTTCAAACCCTGCAAGGACGTGACCTCCTACTTGTATAGGACTCTTGCTTTCAATCATCATGTACATGATGGTAATTGCCACTTCAAACACATAGTAGCCGTAGCTCATGTCATCAAAGTCTAAAATCCCAGACACCTTATATTCAGTAGCTCCAGAGGCTGACTTGCTGGACTCCGTTAAAATATTGTGGTCATTAAGATCTCCGTGATTGATACCTGAAAGTAGAAAACCATGTAAAAACAGTTATTGACTATCCCAGTTTATTCCCCTTCCATTTCTCTTTCACAGGCAAAACCATTCAGATAATTTGATAAGCAGTCAGAGATAAAGGGCAGTCAGAGATAAAGGGCCAGGCCCAATTTTTCTTGAAATAAAATAATTTCCTCTGAAAAGAATAAAAGCAGTTAATTTGGGATTGTTTTGGTTTTGCTTCTCATCAGTACAAAGCCAGAAGATGTAGACTGCAGTCACTGCAAATATCTGATTTTGGCTATTAGAACAGTAAAGGGAAAAGAACTGCTCACATCCAGAAATGTTTAAAAAGAATAGAAACATATTCATATTATTAGAAGAAGCAAAGAGTCCTAGAATGGACCAGATTTGCCTTTATTTTCATCTAGAATTTTATTTATTTATTTATTTATTTTTTGAGACGGAGTCTCACTCTTTTGCCCAGCTGGAGTACTGTGGCACAGTCTTGGCTCACTGCAACCTCCGTCTCCTGGGTTCAAGCAATTCCCCTGCCTCAGCTTCCTGAGTAGCTGGATTACAGGCATGTACCCACCACACCCAGCTGATTTTTATATTTTTAGTAGAGACAGAGTTTCACCATGTTGGCCAGGCTGGTCTTGAACTCCTGACCTCAAATGATCTACCTGCCTCAGCCTCCCAAAGTGCTGGGATTACAGGCCTGAGCCACCGTGACTGACCTCACCTAGGATTTTAAACAAAACTTTCTGATAACATGGTAATTCTAAATTTCCTGGTTTTTAGTTATTAAAATAAGTGGTGATATTTTAAGTCAGTACTAAGCAAAGTACTGACTGCTGGAGTCTGTGGCCAGTGCTGCTCTACAAAATGTTACCAGTCTGCATGAAATAAGAACACAGTGAAGAGTGTTTAGAAAATGTTACGGTGATATGACATCCAAGAGTGTGATCAGTGGCCTTGTCTCATTGAACGAAGCGTACAGGAGTTCAACTTTTGTCAAACTCCTGTGGTTAGCTGCATGTGGCACAAACTGTAAGCTAATCATGCACAGCAGGACCATATGCCAGACTGTAATGGGTTGGGGGGAAAACACTACACTTACCTTTTACCATAGATAGTCTAAGAAGCACTGATTTAAGCCACCAACTCAGGATTAGTAAGAGATCTAAGTGTCCATGAGCAGTGAAGTCCCGAGTCACACACGATATAAGATATCTAATTTTAACTTTTAAATATAATGCTGACTTCTACATGATTTAGGAGTGTGTAAATCATGCTTAAGCAATGTAATATAGTAAGTGGCACGTAGAAACAATATTGTTGTACATCATAGATTTTAAACTACATATTTCTGAAATTAGGATATATTATACAATTGAATCAAAAATATGTAAGGCAAAATTTGGCTGGGCACAGTGGCTCATGCCTATAATCCCAGCTACTAGGGAGGCTGAGGCATAAGAATCACTTGAACCCAGGAGGCGGAGGTTGCAGTGAGTGGAGATCATGCCACTGCACTCCAGCCTGGGCAACAGAGTAAGACTCTGTCTTTAAAGAAAAAGGATTTAAGCTGAATGCATTGCCTTATGCCTGTAATCCCAGCACTTTCAGAGGCTGATGTGGGAAGATCGCTTGCAGCCAAGAGTTTGAGACAAGCCTGGGAAACATAGTGAGACTCCATCTCTACAAAAAAATAAAACATTTGCTGTGCATAGTGATGCATGCCTATAGTCAGCTACAAAAAAAAAAAAAATTAACTCAGTAAGATTAAATAAAATTCAAAGTCCTACTCCTTAGTAGCACTAGCCACATTAGCCACATTTCAAATGCTCATAACGTAGGGACTATTGAATTGAACACCACAGATACAGAATGTTTCCTTCATTGAAGAAAATCCCACTGGACAGCACTAATATAAAGTATGTTCTCTGATCACAATGTAATTACAGTAGAAACCAACAATAAAATATAACCAAAAAAGTTCATCATATTTTGGGGAACAGGATTTATACTTCTAAATACCCATGAGTAATAATACAAAAAAAGTAGCCAGGCATGGTGGCACACACCTGTGTCACAGCTACTCGGGTGGCTGAGGCAGCAGAATAATTTGAACCCAGGAAGTGGAGATTGCAGTGAGCGGAGATTGCACCACTGCACTCTAGCCGGGGTGACAGAGTGAGACTCCAGTGAAAGAAAGAAAGAGAGGGGAGGGAGGGAGGGAGGGAGGGAGGCAGGCAGGCAGGCAGGAAGGAAGGGTGGGTGAATTTCATGGTGTGTGAATTACTTTAATAAAGCTGTAAAAAATAACAGGGGCCTGGTGTGGTTGCTCATGTAATCTTAGTGCGTTGGGAAGCCAAGGCAGCAGGATTGCTTGAGCCCAGGAGTTTGAGACCAGTCTGAACAACATAGAGAGACACTATCTCTACAATAATAAAAATATTCACCATGCATGATGGTGCATGGTGGTAGTCCCAGCTGCTTGGGAGGCTGAGATGGGAGGATCGCTTGGGCCCAGGAGGTGGAGGCAGCAGGGAGCTGTGATCGTACCACTGCACTCCAGCCTGGGCGACAGAGCAAGACTCTGCCCCAAAAAGAAAAAAAAAACATTTAAAATTATACATCCAAACATACCATACCATGAAAAGATAAGCCACAGAATGGGACAGAATGTTTGTAACACATATAACTAGCAAAGGACTCATATCCAGAATATATTTAGCACTTCTACAAATCAATGAAAAAAATATAATTTCAATAGGAAAACAGGCCAAAGACTTGATTTGGCACTCCTCAAGAATATATGTCAAATGGCCAGTAAATAGGGAAATGTATTTCTTTCTTTTTGTTTTGTTTTGTTTTTAAAGACCGGGTTTCACCATGTTGGTCAGGCTGTCTTGAACTCCCGACCTCAGGTAATCCGCCCGCCTTGGCCTCCAAAGTGCTTGGATTACAGGCGTGAGCCACCACACCTGGCTGGGAAATGTATTTCTTTTTAAGACAAAGTTTCGCTCTTGTTGCCCAGGCTGGAGTGCAATGGCAGGATCTCAGCTCACTGCAACCTCTGCCTCCTGGACAAGCGGTTCTCCTGCCTCAGCCTCCTGAGTAGCTGGTGTTACAGGCATTAGCCACCATGTCCAGCTAGTTTTTGTATTTTTAGTAGAGACAAGTTTCACCACATTGGTCAGGCTGGTCTTGAACTCCTGATCTCAGGTGATCCGCCTGCCTCAGCCTTCCAAAGTGCTGGGATTACAGGTGTGAGCCACCGTGCCCCGCCAGGGAGATGTATTTTAAAACCATGATGTAATGATAAACTATTATGTACAAACCAGATTGAGAAAATTTTAGAAGTTTGACAACACCAGGGATGTAGAACAATAAAAACTTTTACCCTCTGCTAGCTGTAGTATAAATTCACAGAACCACTTTTGAAAATGTTGGTATTATCCAGTGAAGCTGAATATGGACATGTCCTATGACCTAGCAATAGGTAAACACTCAAAGACTAATGAATGTGTGTACAGACACTCAAGCATGTTCACGGCACCACTGTTCTTAATAGCCCCAAATAAGAAACAACCCAAGTATCTTTTAAGAGTAGAATAATGTGTGGTATATTCGTGAATATTTTAAAGTTATAAAAGTTAACCAACTCTAGCCATATGCAATGACATGAAGAACTTACAAAAGTAGTATTGAGAAAAAAAAAGAAAAGTGAATGTATATACTGTGGAGAGGGAGAGTAGGAGCAGGGAGTTACACGGCCACTGCAATCATCCAGATCATAGGATCTCCTACGAAGTAAGAATGGACAGAATTTGATTGGATTTGTGATGTGAGAGAGAACAAAGTGGAGCCTGATGACTCCTAACTTTTGTCTAGATTAATTAGGTGAATCGTGGTTACCATTTTAATGAGATGAAGAAGACTGGGGGAAAAACAGGTTTGAAGGGGAAAAAAATCATCCCTTGTCACACTACACCTTAAATTGTGTTTACACAAAGTAAGTAAATACTAAGGCCTAACTTAGGCATTGCTAGAAATGCCCTTCAGTTCCTTGCCCTTTTTTTTTTTTTTCCAGACAGATTTTGCTGTTGCCCAGGCTGGAGTGCAGTGGCACAATCTCAGCTCACTGTAACCTCCACCTCCAGGGTTCAAGGGATTCTTCTGTCTCAGCCTCCCAAGTAGCTGAGATTACAGGCACACGCCACCAGGTCCAGCTAGTTTTTGTATTTTTAATAGAGATGAGGTTTCATCACGTTGGCCAGGCTGGTCTCAAACTCCTGACCTCAAGTGATCCATCCACCTTGGCCTCCCAAAGTGCTGGGATTATAGGCGTGAACCACCGTGCCCAGCCATTTCCTTGCCTTTGACCAGTACTTAATGCTGGATGAAAAGGTTGGTTATATCTAGATATAGAGAAACCCTTGTCTGGGTTTATATATAAACGGGGAGATATATACTAGAGCAGCAGTTCCCAACCTTTTTGGCACCAGGGACTGGTTTCATGGAAGACAATTTTCCATGAACATGAGATGGGGGAAGGATGGTTTTGGGATAAAACTATTCTACCTCAGATCATCAGGCATTAGATTCTCACTGAGATCCCTTGCATGTGCTGGTCACAGTAGGGTTTGTGCTCCTATGAGAATCTAATGCTGCTGCTGATCTGACAGGAGGCAGAGCGTAGGCAGTAATGCTTGCTGGCTGCTCACCTCCTGCTGTGTGGCCCAGTTCCTGGGGTTTGGGGACCCCTGTACTAGAGTGTTCATTGCAGCGTCATTTATGTAGCAAAGAAATGGGAAGCAACCTAAAATTCCATTAACAAGAGAATAGACTAAAAAATTATAGTACATGCTAATAAATTATGGCATATTCATACTATAGAATACTATTTAGCAGTTAAACTAATAAACTAAAACCACAAATATTCATATGGATCAATCTGCAAAACAAGTTGAATAAAAAAGCAGGTTGCAGAATAATAATACAGTGTGATACCATTGATAGAAAGTTTGAAAACACAAGCCCCTACTATACCTAATTTATAAATCATACATAGGTAGTGTGCAAATTTAATGGGAAGAAGAGAGGTAGACTCATGTAAAGTTTAGAGGAGGCTTCAATGTAGCAATTTTGAGAAAAGTAAAAATATTATTTAAAAAGCGATAGGAGCAAATATGGCAAAATTTTAAGATTTGATAAAGCTAAATTGTACCTTCATACTTTTCTGATGATGTAAAATTCGACAGTTTAAATATCAAGAAAAATATTTAATTGAGACAATACTCACATTCTCGAAAATGACTTAATTTGGTCATTACTTCTTCCTTGAACAGATGAATGACCTGCTCGACAATCTCTCGGTTTCGATTCTGGCCCAGGGCATACAGGTATTTCTCCAGAAGAGGAACATTTTTCAGATTCCAGATGAAGTTCTCCCGATGAAGACTACTTAGCTTTGGGTGATGGAATTTCTAAATTGAAAGTGACATATTCTTAGTCTCTTGACAGAGCAACCACTGCTGAGAGAGGTGAGAGGTACTGCACATTTATTTTTATTTTTATTTTTGAGATGGAGTCTTGCTCCATTGCCCAGGCTGGAGTGCAGTGGCGTGATCTTGGCTCACCACAACCTCCACCTCCTGGGTTCAAGTGATTCTCCTGCCTCAGCCTCCTGAGTAGCTGGGATCATAGGCATGCATCACTATGCCCGGGTAATTTTTTTGTGTATTTTTAGTAGAGATAGGGTTTCACCATGTTGGCCAGGCTGGTATCTATCTTCTGACTTCAGGTGATCCACCCAGCTGGGCCTTCCAAAGTGCTGGGATTATAGGCGTGAGACACTGCGCCCAGCCAGTGCTGCGCATTTTTAATCAACCAGATCTTGTAGAACTCACTATCATGAGATCTGCTGTTTCAGAAGATGACCTGCTCTACACTGGCCAGGGGGTCTCAGAGAGTGAGCTGGCATTCTCTCATGGTCATTGACTTACCCCGTTTACTTTAATTCACAAAATAGTAAGCCCTTCATAGCTGTGCAGGATCTCTCAGTTTTGGGAGCACATTCCAGGCTCACTTGATCCTCATAATTATGTGAAGATAGGCATTATTGCCCACAGCTTACAAAAGAAATGGGAGGCAGCTCTAAAGAGCTCTGTTCTCACCCATGCCCCTTGTTACCTCTCTGACTTCATCTTCTACTGCTTTTGCCCCCCTACTCCAACTACCCTGGCCTCCCTGCTGTTCTAGGAACATGCCAGGCATGTTCCCACCTCACAGCCTTTTGCTTTTGCTGTTTCCTTTTTGGGGGATGCCCTTCACCAGATATCCACATGATTAGTGCCCTCATTTTTGCCAGGTCTTTACTCACAAAACACCTTCTCTGTGAGAATATCCTGACCACTCCATCTAGAATGTCAGTCGTCTCTCCGATATTTTGTACCTGCCGTCTCTTAGTTTTTCTTCTTACCACTTGTGCGATGGTAATGTTTTGCTAACATCTGTCATAGTTCAACGTACTTATTTTCCTGTTTACCCTCATTAGAATATAAGCTTCAAGAGGGGTAGGGCTGTTTTTTGTCTGTTTTGTTCACTCCTGTATCCACACACCTAGAACAGTGTCTGGTACATCGAAAGCACTGCTCGAGCAAAAATACTTTTGCTGAATTAAAGGATGTTCTTAGAATACAAAATTCTGGAATTGGAAGGCCTTTAGACTTTGACCACTCTATCTAAAGTTGTAAATAATTTTCACTGTCATTGCCTGAATGGGGAAACTGAGGTTCACAGAGGGATAACGACTTGTTATTACAAGGCTGAGGGAGGACTTAGATCTTCTGTCTCACAGTTCAGACCTCTTTGACAGAGTGGGTGCTGGAAGGTGCCTTGATGCTCATCCAGTGAAATATGTTTCAAACTTTTTTGACCGTGACTTGCAGTAAGAATTATATTTTACATCATAACCCTAGTATACAGGCACACACACATATAAAGAAAAAAGTCCCAGTAAACAATCCTTAGACTATTACATATGACATATTCTGATGTTTTTAAAAATTATATTCTGGCTGGGCACAGTGGCTCATGCCTGTAATCCCAGCACTTTGGGAGGCTGAGGTGGGTGGATCATTTGAGGTCAGGAGTTCGAGACCAGACTGGCCAACAATGGTAAAACCCCATCTCTACTAATAATACTCAGAATTAGCTAGGCATGGTGGGTGCCTGTAGGCCCAGCTACTTGGGAGGCTGAGGCAGGAGAATTGCTTGAACCTAGGAGGCAGAGGCTGCAGTGAGCCGAGATCGTGCCACTGCACTCCAGCCTGGGTGACACAGTGAGATTCTGTCTCAATAAATAAATAATAAAATAAATAAATATATTCTGTTTCTTTTAAAAGTTTCTCTAAATGGATTTCAGTACTCACTATTATGACCAGGAATTTGAGACGCTTGGTCTCAAACTTTGAGAAGCTTCCCCTGACACTTCTCTTAAGAGTAGCATTTTCTTGCTAAATGGTCATGTATCCTGTTTAAATACTTGCTGATACAGTTTGGGTATGTGTCCCCACCAAATCTCATGTTGAACTGTAATCCCCAGTATCAGAGGTGGGGCCTGGTGGGAGGTGATTGGATCATAGGAGTGGTTTCTTTTTTTGAGACGGAGTTTCGCTGTTGTTACCCAGACTGGAGTGCAATGGCACGATCTCGGCTCACCGCAACCTCTGGGTTCAAGCAATTCTCCTGCCTCAGCCTCCTGAGTAGCTGGGACTACAGGCGCACACCACCATGCCCAGCTAATTTTTGTATTTCTAGTAGAGATGAGGTTTCACCTTGTTGACCAGGATGGTCTCGATCTCTTGACCTCGTGATCCACCCACCTCGGCCTCCCAAAGTGCTGGGATTATAGGCGTGAGCCACCGCGCCTGGCCAGGGGTAGTTTCTTATGAATGGCTTAGCACTATCTTCTTGTGCTGTTCTTGTGATAGTAAGTGCCTTCTTGTGAGATCTGGGTTTTTTGTTTTGTTTTGTTTTTTGAGATATAGTCTCTCTCTGTTGCCCAGGCTGGAGTGCAATGGTACAATTTTGGCTCACTGCAAACTCTGCCTCCCAGGTTCAAGTGATACTCCTGCCTCAGCCTCCCGAGTAGCTGGGATTACAGGCGCCTGCCACCACACCTGGCTAATTTTTTGTAATTTTAGTAGAGATGGGTTTTACCACATTGGCCAGGCTGGTCTCAAACTCCTGACCTCAAGAAGGCTGCATAAATTTGCATAAGTAAAAAGGAGCCAAGTGCTAATAGCCAAGACAATGGGGAAAAAAAGGTCTTGAAGTCCTTTCAGAGACTTCTGTCCCAGAGGGCTAGGAGGACAGGATGGTTTTATGGGCCAGGCCCAGGACCCTGCTGCCCTACACAACCTTGGGATATTGCTCCCTGCATTTCAGTTGTGCCACCTCCAGCCATGGATCAAAGGGTTATGGTACAAGTACAGCTTGGACCACTTCTTCAGAAAGTGCAAGCTTAGAAGCCTTGGTGGCTTCCACGTGTGTTAAGCCTGTGGATGCACAGAGTTTAAAAGTTGAGGCTTAGGAGCCTCTGCCTAGATTTCAGAGGATATATGGAAAGCCTGGATGCTCAGGCAGAAACCTGCTGCAAGGGTGGAGCCCTCATGGAGAACCTCTACTAGGGCAGTGCGGAGGAGAAATGTGGGCTTGGAGCCCCTACACAGAGTCCCCACTGGGGCACTGCCTAGTGAGAAGAGGGCCATCATCCTCTAGTCCTCAAAATGGTAGATGCAGTAACAGTTTGCACCCTACCCCTGAAAAAGCCACAGTCACTCAATACCAGCCCTTGAGAACAGCCACAGGGGCTGAACCTTGCAAGGCAACAGGGTTGGGCCTGCCCCAGGCCTTGGGAGCCCACCCCTTGCATCAGTGTGCCTTGGATGTGGGACATAGAGTCAAAGGAGATTGTTTTGGAGCTTTAAGATTTAATGACTGCCCTGTTGGGTTCTGGACTTGCATGAGGCCTGTAGTCCCTTCCTTTTGGCTGGTCTCTCCCTTTTGGAATAGGAGTGTATACCTAATGCCTACACTCCCATTTCATCTTAGAAGTAAACAACTTGTTTTTGATGTTATGGGCTCATAGGCAGAAGGGACTTGCCTTGTCTCAGATGCGACCTTGGACTGTGGACTTTTGAGTTAATGTTAGAATGAGTTAAAATTTGGTAGGACTACTGAGAAAGATGATTGTATTTTGCATTGTGAGAAGGACATGACATTTGGGAGGCCAAGGGCAGCATGATATGGTTTGGCTCTGTATCCGCACCAAATCTCATGCCAAACTGTAATCCCCAATATTGGAGGTGGGGCCTGGTAGGAGGTGATTGGATCATGGGGGTGTGTCTCATGAATGGTTTAGCCCCATCCTCTTGAGGCTGCTCTCGTGACAGTGAGTGTGTTCTCGTGAAATCTGTTGTTTAAAAGTGTGCAGCACACCCACCTTGCTCTCTCTTGCTCCTGCCCCTGCCGTGTAAGACACCTGCTCCCACTTTGCCTTCTGCCATGATTGGAAGCTTTCTGAGGCCTCCTCAGAAGCAGAAATCACTGCTACCTGTACAGCCTGCAGAACCATAAGCCAATTAAACCTATTTTCTTTATAAATTACCCAGTCTCAGGTATTTCTCCCCGCCCCCCCCAGGTATTTCTTTATAGCAATTCGAGAATGGACTAACACACTTCCCATGGGAGGCACTTTTTACCTCATGGAGATGGCTTTGCGTTTTTCCTTTTGTGAAGTTAAAATCTGACTCTGCCTTTCAATAGTGTCCATGCCACCAGTTCCTAGCTGTGACCTCTGGGGCCATCTGGAACCGGATTAGTCCTCCACATTTTTGCAGTCCTCTCCCTTTTTTTTTGAGACAGTCTAAGTCTGTTGCCCAGGCTGGAGTGCAGATGTGTAATAGCTCACTGCAACCTCTGCCACCTGGGTTTAAGTGGTTCTCATGCCTCAGCCTCCCAAGTAGCTGAAATTTCAGGCATGTGTCACCATGCCTGGTTAATTTTTTAGTATTTTCAATAGAGACGGGGTTTCATCAGGTTGGCCAGACTAGTCTCGAACTCCTGTCCTCAAGTGAGCCACCCCTTCGGCCTCTCCAAGTGTTGAGATTACAGGTGTGAGCCACTCCACCTGGCTTTGGAGTTTTATCTCTCTCTTTTTTTTTGACATGGAGTCTCGCTCTGTTACCCAGGCTGGAGTACAATGGCATGATCTCAGCTCATTGCAACCTCCGTCTCCCAGGTTCAAGTGATTCTCCTGCCTCAGCCTCCTGAGTAGCTGGGATTACAGGTGCGAACTACCATGCCCAGCTAATGAAAAAAAATTTTTTTTAGTAGAGATGGAATTTCACCATGGTGGCCAGGCTGGTCTGGAACTGGAGTCTTCTCTTTTGTACCTTTTACATCCTGTGCGTTAAGTACC